GTTAAATATAATTAATTAAATCGTGGAAAAACTTGAGTTTTGAAAATCTAAACATTCGGGCCTGATTTGTGATTTCGTGAAAGTAAATACCCGATCTAATTTTTCCCAATCAGCCGATCGAAGACAAGCCCACAATTCAGCTAATCGAAGACGAGCCCACACGATCTGCCGGTCACAAACAGAGAAGGAAACTAGCGAGTCTCAAACTAGAAAACGCCCACACGATGGCGCTGTATTTGCGTCGGTCAAGAACAGAAATCGCTAGAGTTGTGCCACCACTCTCAAAGATGTTAGGACTTACATCGAACACCCACGAAGTCAGAGAAATCTGAGACAGAATTCTGACGACCAATAAAGATTCAGCTGCGGTTTCTATTGGTATGACTCCGATACCATGTAAACAATTTGGCTGAAAGAATCTTCCATTAAAGATGCTTCCAATTTATAGTTACAAATAATCTAAATATGGTAATTCTATGTATGGTCCAAATATATATATGTGCAAGAATATTCTCGTAATATTTGGGCGTAATCTTCTTCAATCTTCAATCTTGTTAACACACACCACTGAAACTTGTGAATGTATTATGAGTTTTTCATTTTGGCAAATGGCAAGTATGATACACCAGATTTACATTATAAGCTCATTGAACATTTGGCAGATTGATTGTTGTCATAACTTTTTCGTCAAACTATAGGTAATGCTGCATATATGGCAATACATTCTTTATATTTCAATTATGAGGTTATTACATAAATGCAAAATAATTTACCCTTGATTATTTATCATATACTTCAGGTTTTCATCTTAAGCAACGGCTATTTATTTCTTGGCAGTTGCGTAAGGCGGATGAAGACTCGAATGCAAATTGATCATCAATTTCTGAGTTTGGTGATGATAGTTTCTTGGTTGGCAGTTGGGAGCAGAAAGAAATTACTAGTCGTGACGGACACATGAAGATTCAAATACACGTCTTCTTAGCTTCCATTGATCAGCGAAGTGAGCAAGCAGCAGGAGAAAGTGCAAGTACATCCCTTGTTGCAGTGATAGCCGATTGGTTGCAGAATAACCATGATCTTATGCCCATTAAGTCGCAGTTTGATAGTTTGATCCGAGAAGGCTCGTTATAATGGAGAAACCTCTGCGAAAATGAAACTTACAAGGAGAGGTTTCCTGATAAGCACTTTGATCTAGAGACGGTTTTCGAAGCCAAAACCCTTGCTCTTTGTGTTGTTGCTGGGAAATCTTTTATCGGGTGTTTTCCATCTAGAAGGGATGGAGGCTCAAAATTATGATCGTTTGCATGGTGCTATGTCATTTGACAATATCTGGAACGAGATTAGTCTTTCGGAGTGTTCTAGAAGTGGAGAATCCCCTGTTTTCGTTGTCAGTTGGAACGACCATTTTTTTGTCCTGAAGGTCGAAGCATATGCTTACTACATCATCGACACATTAGAGGAGCGACTTTATGAAAGATGCAATCAAGTTTATACACTAAAATTTGACAGGGATATGACTATCTACAGACTTCCACATACCAGACAATCTTCAAAAGGAAAACCTGTTGTTGATAAGCATACTGTTCGTGTAGTGGAGTCTGATAACTCGAATATAGAGCAGCATGTGGAGTCAAAGGACGGTTTGAAAGAAGGGACACTTGTGAATGGAACCGATGATCCAATTACGAGTGAAGAAGAAGAGGTTATTTGTCGAGGTAAAGAGCGTTACAAAGAGTACATTAAGAGTTTCTTGGCTGCAATACCAATGAGAGAACTACAAGACGATATCAAGAAAGGCTTGATAACACCAACTCCTCTTCATCAGAGACTACAAATTGAATTCCACTTCAGCCAACTAGAGCAACAAACTACCGTAACTCGAGTAACAGAAGACCACAACAAGCAGTTGATGCTACAATAACCAAGGTTTCTACTCATAGATTTCACTTAGGGTCCGTTTGATTGCGAATGTGAAAAATAGGTGGAAAGAAATGAATTTCAGGGAATTGAATTGCTTAGAAATTGTTTTACTGAGAATTGTAATTAATTGTGTTGGACTTGTATAATTTTCTACCTGAAAAATGTTGAAAGTTTGATGTCCGTTTGACTTCATTTTTAATGGAAATTGTCCATTAAAGTGATAATTTTTTCTACCATTGGGTTTAGCATTTGTTCCGATTGTCAAAAAAATTAAAAATAAATTAAATTTTTTAAAAATAAAGCAATTTCATTTTGCCAAGAAAATGGATTCCCACCACTTTGGCAAGAAATTCAATTCCTTAAAAACATGAAAAATGGGTCGATGTGACACAAGCAAGGAAAGACAATTCCATGAAAAATTTTGTCAATCAAACAAGTCAAAAAGTGAGAAATGAAATTCATTTTCCATTTTCCTCGGAAAATTAGGCTTATCAAACCGAGATTTTTTGACTTTAAACTTGAGGAAGTGTGATTATGCCTAGTTTTTCGTTTTTGGGTTGAGTTGAAAAGTGACTGTTGAGTGAACTTGGGTGAGAGGGTTTGTGTTCTTTCAACTGCATTAAGGTCTCAGAAGTGATAATCATCTCTCCATGTAAACACCTTCTATTATTTTCTTTTCATTCATAGTACTTGTAACAAATTACTTATCCTTTTGTGCCATCTCTATTCAATCAAAATATGATACTTTTTATGCAGCTATTTTTTGGTTGAAAACCATATTGCATATGAAATGTTGGTGGATATTCTGAAAAGAAATGAAGCCAAGCTCAACTTATTCATATGAATTGTTCAGAATATACACTGTTAAGCTTCTTTGGAGTCAGAGACGGAGCTGGGGGAGGGGGGGGGGACCGCCCCCCCAACATTGTCCGCCGGTCCACCATTTCTAGTTAATTTTTAATGAATTTTTTAGTTTCGCCCCCCCGCAAAATTTTGAAATTTTTTTTCCATTAATAAATATTGACCCAATAACTTACAGCACATGCTCACCCAAGCCCAGATCCAGTTAGTAAGTAGATTCTTTTCTGTTTTTGTAGTTGAGCTCATGTAAGCTTAACGAGTGAGCCCGCGTCCTATTAAAAAAAAGGGGAAAAATTCAGTTTTAAGAAGTTTTCTTTAGTTAATTTCAAAAATGACAAAACATCTTTCACTTTTCTAAAATCAGAGAATTTGACCTATACATACACATATATATAATTAACATGCCCCCCCTCCACCACCCCACTGCTCCGGCGACCGTTCCGGCGATCGCTCCGATGACTATTCCGGCGATCGCTCCGGCGACTACTCCGATTCCGGTGACCGTTCCCGGCGACTGCTCCGATTCCGACGACAATTCCGATGATATGAATTTTTTTGAGCGGTCACAGTCCAGGTCACAGCCCAAGTCACTATTCCGGCGATCGCTCCGGCGACTACTCCGATTCCGGTGACCGTTCCCGGCGACTGCTCCGATTCCGACGACAATTCCAATGACATGAATTTTTCAGGTCACAGTCCAGGTCACAGGTCACATGCTCAAGTCACAGCCAAGGTCACATAGACTACACAGCACCACCTCACCACCACCACCGTCTCACATGCCCTAACCCTACTTTGTTAATGCTACCACAGCATACAACTCACCACAACCATCATCCCTAACGTCGCCAACACAGCCTCACCATAAGCGTCGTCGTCAACACAGCCTAACCCACACGCGGTGCCACCACCATCAACACCAATAGCACCTCCACTACCACCCACCACAAAACACCGTCAACAGAACCACAAGACGACGCACCACCACAAATCACCAAAAACCACATCAACAAACACAAACTGTTGCAGCGCGCGGTGCCACCACCATCAACGCCAACCGAGCCTCCACCACCACCCACCACAGATTGTTACTGTCCAACAAAACTTGTGTGAAGACGAAAAAACCACCATCACTTTCTCTAACTACAAAATCACATCACAACCACATCGCACCTAAACCATCACCTCAACCGCATAAACAAACAACACCAACACCCACATTGCACCAACAATCACCGCAACAACCCACGCAAAAAAAAAGGAAGATGAAGCAGATCGCGAGCATCAAATCGCGGGCGGCTTCGCGAAGTACAAATCGCATCAGCCGCGGTGGAGGCGACGGTGGCGAAGATGGGGGTTGCTGCAGCCGCGGTGGCGGCGACAGTTTTGAGTGGATAGAGTGCAGGACCACAGGGAGAGTGCCTTGCCGGTGAGGGAGAGACTGGGGTGGTGGAGGGAAAGGACGACCGACGATGGTGGAGAGAGAGAGAGGATAGGGTGGAGAGAGAGAGGAGAGGGTGAGAAAATGAATTAGGGATTTAGGGTTTCAAATCGTATATAATTTATTTTTTATAATATTTAATTAAATATAATAAACTTGTATCTATTTTAAAAAGTTCTGATTTTTGAAAAAAAAGAAGATAAAATCTGGTTTTAGAAATTGGATCTCCAAAGGTAGAGATAGGTGTAATTTCTACAAAAAAAAAATGAGTAAGCCTCATTCCAAAAATAATGAGTAAATGGCCAAACTCTAATTTTTTGGCCCAAACAAAATTTAAATTCTATTATCCATTTAAACCTAAACCCAAACCATAAACTAATCTAATTCAATTTTCTTCCTATTTCATATTAATTGTCCATCTAACGTTCATGTTTTTAATTTGTATAATGTTAGACACATAGATGGATATATTGTTTTTGTATTGACAAACTGATTGTCTTTTTGGTCAGTCGATTTAACTTGCCTATTTTGGTACTCAAAATTGTCATTTTGAATCCTCTTAATTAAAAAAAATTTTCGGGGGCGAACCCGGGAGGGGGGCCCGCCCCCCTCGACCCCCCATATTTTCGCCCCCCAAGAGTAAATTCCTGACTACGTCCCTGTTTGGAGTCCTTTATGAATTACTCCCATGATTAGATCTGATGGGGACATATGGCTGGCGCACTCACTCTTATCTTGTTGACCAAAACTCAAATAGAGATATATACGACTAGCTCGATTTTGAGGTTGTCCGTGGTAAGGGTCAACCTGTTCAAGGCACTATGCCACTATGACATCTCTAACATCTGTTGAAGTTTGTTTCTCCAGGTGCAGTCGTTACCTAACGGAATATTCAGGAGAAGACACAGTAAACTCTCGTGTTTCTGTGCTTATAAACTTATAACTCACTAGAGGTCCGAGAAACAAAGAAAAAACTTGTACTAACGAGAATGATTTACACAAGGATTTATAGTTTTTGGTCATTTTACACAGTGCTATGCTGCTATTACAGAAACAGTACAATATTTACAACACATCTTGAAATATCAAGAAAAACACTTATCTCTAGCTGCAAACTGTGCACTTAATTAATCCATTTTCATTGCAATCTGGACACCTTATGGATGATAACACATTGGCTTGCCCCTCTGGAGTGATTTTTCGACTGCCATTGCAGTGGAAACATAAAACAAAATGCATTCCAGCACAAGCATTGCAAGGAGTATTTGATTGAGTTAAGGATATCCCTTGTAAGAGTTTTCTTAGCATTCCCTTTTCGTGCAATCCTACGACTGCATCAGCCCCTCCAATGTCTCTACCTCTGATGAAAAGCCTCGGGGGAACTACTCGTCCTCCGAGTACTCTCCACAGCTCGTCTCTATATTCCAAGTGCATCGAAACATCTCTCTCGTAGTATAGTACTCTAAAACTCTCCAAAAGAAACTGGATTGCTTTACAGTCTTCGAATGTTTTCCTGATTCCTCTCAGGCTTGTGGTGTAGAGTATGACTGAATCAGTTCCACCTGGAGGACACATCTCTTCAAACTCTGATATAGATGGGAATTCATCATTTTCTTCCTTTCTTTCGTGGCTTCTAGAATCTTCCATGCCATTCAGCTTGAAGCAAGGTACAGGGATAAGTTCAGAATGGCCCTCGATTTCTCCCATTAGTGGTTGACAAGCTGATTTGCCAATCTCCACTAAATGATCAACCTCAGACAATAATTGTACCTGATCATAGGCGGGCTGATCATTATCTGTTAATCTTATGTAGGGTCGAAACTTTTCTTCGGTGTCCACATTAGAAACAGATGAAAATTCATCTTCTGGGACATTGTTTACGAGTCCTGATACATTGATATTGCTGGCTACTAAGTTAGGAAGGTTGTCATTGCTGTGTTCTTTGTGAGGAGTTGATGCTTGAAAGAATGAATTTGGGTGCAAAACTAGGTCTTGTTTCTGAGCGATTATTGAAATGTTTTTGAGTTTCCTAAGGATTCTTGCTTTCATGTTTTTTTATCTCCTCCAGTTTTCTTCTTACCTGAATGGGGATCACATGTGCTGACAACAAACTAAAGTATAAATTAATAAGATGAGACTCTCAAACCATCTCACTTCAACACGTCCCTTCACGAGCAAGTCGTTTAACTTTCTCATCAAAAAACACTTGACACGTGCACAATTTTCATAAATGGATAGCGGCAACACTTGAAACCGGAACCACCTCGTCTACACGCTTAGACAAAGACTAGACTGAGAATGAAGAATATGCTAGAGGGCAAGGGCAAGTCTGATAGAGAATTTTCTTTTGATTTCAAGTGGTTGGAAAGTAGTTCTTAGAATGCCATTGTTAGTTGCTTTATCAAGTCTTGAATAATCAACTGATAAAGAGTGAGTTATAGGCTGTGGAATACCACCTTCTGTACTGGTTTCCATTAGCCCACCAACCAATCCGAACGGTCCATGTGGACGTAAAACATCCCCACCAGCAATTTCCATCAGAAAAAGAAAGCCATGGACCTTTATAAACCTTGATGATTGGGAAATACACACAAATTGCACCATCCAAAATGGGCAATTGACAGCAGTAGAATCAGTACAATTGGGACCAGAGGTTGATTTTAGGAGACAAGGTGGCCATGGTCTCATAATTCAGTCACGAGGAAGCCAAAGCAGCTTTTTCTTCTTCCCATTCTTTGGATTAGACTTTGTGGTTATAAAGCAGGTTTCGTGATTAAACCTTTTCACCACCAGCCATGAGCCGTGTCCCTTCAAGTCAATACCTTATTGCATGTTCGGTTGGAAGATAACTAAATTTTTTTTATTTTTTATTTTTAAAAAGGTTACCTAAAGATCATGTCAATTATATTCTTTAATCTTTTCCAATATGGCACACCAAACATGCACGTAAAGCATAGTCTTCATTAAAGGTGTATCGGACTTGTACTATATTTATAACTAACATAGTTCGTGAATATGGGATGTTACAAGAATCCCTCTCCGCCGCCTCTAGACGTAGATAAATATATTAAACTAGTCGCAAAACCTATGGAAACTCAATAAACACTCGAAATTCGAATCCAATTTAATGACATGTCACGGTTGTGATGGAAATCATTCAAAATGTAGTCCAAAGATTACCATAAACACGTTTGTTAAGGACCATTTATATGATTACAGAATACACATTGATGGATAAAGCACTGTATTAATTGAATGCCTTGATTAAGGCCTTGGATACTTCAGTCCTGCATGTAAATTAATGATTATTTCCATCCACCGCCATCATTACACCACAATAATTTATTTTTATATAAATTTTAGAGAGAGAGAAAAAAATAGAAACGTTTTATTTACATCTAAAGCCAGGAATATGGATTCGATGGAGCTAATCCTCGAGAGTGCTCAACTAGAAGCCAAGGTTTCTGATGCTGTAAGCCCAATGCTGAAGTTGAAAGTAATGCAAGTCAATTGCTTCTTGTTCTCGTCCACCATTGACATTTTAAGAGTGTACGAACCCTGCGTATGTCAAGAACGTTAGCTCCATTAAAAATAAAAAAAATATCGGGGCACTTTCCCCAATTTTTGTATTTCCTTTAATTCCCTTAAATCGTTTTCTTTATGATTGTGTGGTGTGGGGTCATTGATGCGAGCAAAATCGAACATTTTCAGTGGTTACTCCTCATTTCATTTGAGTGCAATAAATGAAGTTAGACTCGACATGGTTTGCACTGATGGGAATACTAGACATCGTCTACATGATACTACTGAAACATAGTAAAAAAGGTGACTTACGGGTGGTGTAATTCCAGGTAAAGATTGGGAATGAGAAATAACAAAATTGCCCACAGAAACTGGACAGGCCGTCTTTCCACACAGGTCATGGGTCTCACCATGGACATGAAATCCAAAATATGAAACGTCAATAGTAAGTTTCCCACCAGAGAATGCTCTATCTGCACGGCAAGTTCAAGTTAAATCTTCAGCTCACCAGAACAAGTTAACACTTGAAGCTACATTCAGGAGTATGTAGCATGTTTGAAATTATAATCTTTAATAAGATTCTCTAATTGCATGGCTTCGTCAACTCATTAGTGTGTGATAAATCTTCTTTCCTTTATGGTTTTCGGCAGTCCCTTTTCTCCACATTCCAAACTAGGTTATAAAATGGCACCAACTGAAGTGAGAGGATGAAGAAATACTCTAAATAATGAAAGCTTGTGGCACTAGAATAACTGGATATACATCAAAAGGTCTATAGTCGGTTAGCTTACTAAAAGCACAAACAACGGGGTGAGGCTGCAATATAAAGCAAGTCAATCCAAGGAAAATGAATGTGCAGAAGGTCTATATCTACATACAAAATGGTGAGAATCAATAAATCCCCATAGGAGTAGCCGAGTAGCCAACTTGATTATTACTCCCAAAACATGTGAAGAATTACAAGTATTAACTGCCATAAAATCCCCGAGGGGCAGGTGGTTCATTATTAATAATGCCAAATACCTTCCTAGCAAGAAACTAAATGTTGCCCTTTTTGTTCTGTCATCCCCTGTGATCACTAGGCTGATGATTAGAAGCCATAAAGTAATTAATGGCTCGGGAGCTAGAAACAGTGTACTTACTGGATAACTATTGTCTCAGCATCGATCAAACATGTTGCTATCAAGAAATAAATATGCTCTCAGAGTTCTCGAACAAAGGAATTGTAAATACTAAGTAGTGTACATACTAGATGGCTATCGTCCAAGCAATCAAATGTCAATGAACTTATGATACATTCTCCCTTCGATGGTACTCAAAAATTTGAGGGAAAGAGTGAGAATTCAGGGCAGCATTAAAGATATATAGTGAGCGAGGCATCTAGCCCTACTACTTCATTCATTACAAATAAGTTGGAAAACCACTATAAACCCATAATGCATACTTTAAGGTTGACCATTAAAGATCAGTAAGAAGATATGCCAATGATTCTTCTCTTTCACACATAAGGGAATTGGTCAATAAGAAATATAAAATAAAGGAGGACATAGGAGGTATAAGAACTGGTACCTTTCAGATAAAAGAAATGGATAAGAAGGAAAGTTATTTATCTCATCTTCTGGTTTTCCATACAAGATACAAGCACAAGTACGTTACCGCTCAAAGGTTAGATTGAAAAAAAAGAAGAGTATACTATTCCTCTTTTGGAAACCTGGCAACCTGCCACCTTGAAAAAAAGAGAGAAGAAACACCTCTGTTGCACAAAAACAGGTTCTTTAACTTTTCAAGGGTGCATGGATTATTTAATTATGCCTTGCCAAAAAATCCCATTCTCGTGAATATTTTGCTAAAGCAAACAAATTTTCTGAATGAATCATCATTCATTTAATATTTGGAAACATAATCAAGTGAATGCTAAGATACATCCAAATGCTACCATCTTGAGTCTCTTTTGCATTTAGAGAAGTACCAAAACTAATGGCACTTAGATTAACTAAGTCAAAGTCACAGTATTTTTCGATGAAGGAGTACTATTTTCTAGGGAAATGTTATCCCATCCACTTTATACCACAAAGAAGCTATTAGAACAACAAAGCACAAAAAATGTTCTCATTGTTTTTTTACTGAAAAGACATGTTTGCAAAGAACTTGTGACTCTGACAAATGCTTAAGCAAAAAAAGAGAAATAGAAAAAAAAATTCCAGCGTGCGAGCATATGAAATCATGCTATTACCAGAAGATGCAGCAATGCTGAAGGTGGTCTCTTTGCCTCTAGAAATAGGGAAAGGAGTTATCTCGACTCCACTGACCTTAACAGCATAGTTAGCCTTCTTATCTGCATTTCATTTGAAGGAAAAACCAAATAAATATATCTCTTAGAAAATGCCTCTTACAAGCCAAATTTTAATTCTTCATAATATTATTTAAGGTTCCATTATCCAATCAATCATCAAAACAAAAATCTTGGCCTGTGATATGAATAAAATCAGTAATTACACCATCAATTTATAGAATACCAGGAGAAAACAATTTTTGGTTGAACCATAACCTTTAATGAATTTTCATTAAAGTACCAAAACTTGCGGACCTTACAAGTAACTCTTGAAGGAAATATTATTTTTTTAAGATGTCAAATTTCAAGAAACTTGGAAAAACAGCTCTGAAATCCAAACCCAATCAGCTCCTCCAGAAAAATTAGGAACAGTAAAAACCTAATCTTAAAAACAACAGGATTGAGTGTGAAAAGAAGAAATCAAACTAAATGACTCACTGTGCGAAATTACAGCGACTTAAATTTACGATAGAAAAATAAAAAAGTACAGGGATGGTCTAGAACCCATCAACTACTCTAGAAAATATTTTTAAGACGTTAAATTTCAATAAATAGGAAAAACTTTTATGATTCCAAAAACCAATCAATTACTCCAAGAAAAATTAAATTATCCAGGATTAGCGAAAACCCCAAATCTTAAAAGAAGAAATCAAACTATTGACTGACTAAATGAAATTACAGAGACTATAATTCGCGGTAGAACGACACCAAAAGCAAAGGGGGTTCGGGGAATCATACTGCAGTAGTGAACGTCGGTGGACTTAGCAAAAATCCAAGGTATAAGCAGACATAGGGAGAAAAGAAGAGCAATAAGAGGCTTCAACTGGACCATGGCTACTCCTTGATTAATTTAGAGAGAGACTGAGAGAGAGAGAGAGAGAGAGAGAGAGAGAGAGATTGATGAGTCCTGGTCGAGAAGAAGGTGACTGTATGCTTGTTATGGATGGTCTCACCGAACAGAAACATTGGTTTAATTTCATCAGTGGCCCACTAACTTTGAGAAAAAAATTCAATTGAACCACTAAACTTTTAGATTCAAATGTCACAGTCCCAAATTGATAGAAATTGCTTAGTTAGGATAGAGAAATTGTTATATTCATCTATTTTCCCAACAATTATATATTATTAGGAATTTTAAAATGGCAATAAAAATATGAGAAGAACGCGCCAGGTAGGGGTCGAACCTACGACTTTCTGCTTAGGAAACAGACGCTCTATCCACTGAGCTACAGGCGCCGGAATGACCTTTTATCTTTATTTATATTAAATATTGATTAGATTACCCAAATTGCAACCTCATCACACCACCCCCTCACAGCAAACTTGATCGATGATCGATCTGGTCCGACACATTTAGTCACCCGAGTGTGTCACCAAAATCGTGTAGCTTTCTCAAGCATCTATCGATCGACCATGTTTGAGTTGAGTTACTTGTACTAGAGGTGGCAATCGAGCCGCTCGGCTTGTGAGCTGTCAAGCTCGTCTACTCGAGCCGAGCCTGTTTGGTTTTTTTATTTTTTTAAGAACAGGTATAGTCATAGGAAAAAAAATTAAAAAAATCTAGCTCGTGCGTATACGGGCCAGCTCGGCCCATTGCCACCGCTAACTTGTACCTTACACAATCACCTGTTCAAATAACCCACTTTTTAATTGTGATTTTGCTGAATTTTTTTGTGCATAAAATGAATTTGTGTGAAAGAGAGGACTATAAGATCAATCTCCACTAATAAATTACAGCATAATCGTTTCTTTTACAGTTCCACAACTACCATCTATATACGTGACAGCTAACAACATAGAAGAGAATTCAGATAACATAACTATTACATTTTACAACACCATTAGCAAAACCTTGTTATATGTATCACATGATTTATCTGTATGTGTGTGTATATAAATTCCGGAGACGTTCCAAGCAGGAATCCAGAATATATTAAACACTTTGTACAAACAAGCAAAGGTACAATTGGGACTAGAAACTGCTCTATATCCCATTCAAATAATCATAAACCTACCAAACCAACCAAATTTGCAGTGAAAAAAGAGGTGAAAAAACCAGCAGCGTAGTATGAACATATCTTTTCTGCCTTGCATTCTCTTCTTCGTATCCCATGTTTATAAATTATTACGTTTTCTTTGTGGTGTAGGAGGGATGAGCTTACGACCAATCAGAGTGCAAATGAGTCCTCCTTAATTGTATATTTTAACAGGCTTCTCAAAGGTGTGGCGATTCTGCAATCACCACAAAATGCCAATGAAAAAAACCATTGGAACATTTGATATTACATGAGGAATACATATTTTTATTCCCCGGAATAGACTGTAACCTAGGCAATGCAAGAAATATACCTGGCTTGCAGCATAAGTCCTCTTAGGGGTGGTATCGGAGTGCTCCAACCCAAGGTACTGCTCCCAAGCACCGTAAACATCTCTCCTCTATGAAAGAACAAAAGTAAATTCTCTTTAATCATTAATGAAGATTCAAGAGAAAATGGGATAAATGAAAAGGAAAGATGAGAATATAAACGCAGTACAGAAAATAATGACCTGAAAACGGCTGGATACAATGTCTGAGTCCTGAAGATACTCTGGACGTCCCAGGGACAAAAACGCAAATTTCCACTAAATATTAACAGAATAAAGGATCAAAGACCCAAAGTCAGTGCTATAACGCAACTAAATTACTAGCGCAACTACTATGCAGCGCGAAAATTTTTAGCAAGTGCTACATGATTGTACTAAAAAGCGTATGTAGTATCCACGTAAAATGGATAACATAACATACCTTACAAAACTCCTCGTCTGGAACCTGTAATTTCTTCTGAATCCGAACTTTAACATCAGCTAAAGTTTCGCCTTCATGAATGACCAGAAAGAAGGGTTCACCAAAATTCTGGACTTGCTATTGAATAACATTGTAAATATATATGTTATTATCATGCTCATCATTGTTTGATAATTTCAGTTCTACCCAAAAACAACCATATTGCACCAGATAAAAAATAAAAATATTGATAATCCTCAAATACCATTTGGTTCTGTGCACTCTCTTTTGTGAAATGGTAAACATGAACCAAGCGGTCATTGGGACCTAGCTTTTTTTCTTCTTCTGGAATCTGACAGATAACATATAACAAGAATCCCATCAAAAGTTGTAACAAAATCAAAATAACTGTTGATATAGAAAAGAATTCATACAAGATTTGCCAAACTGTAAAACCATGGAAAATAATGCCACCACATACACCCACAACTTCCAAAGAAATATACATTGGATTTGAAGTACAAAATCAAGGTGCCTCTTCAACAATTGTGTTAATGATCAAAGTTCAAACTCTACTCAGCTTCATTATTCTTTATTATAAGCAAAAGCTATTAACATGAACAAGGTCCTTAAAGAGAAGAGACAACTTGTATATTCGTGTGGGAAAGAGAATGAGCAAAAAGTATAAGAGGGTGATTCTGAGAGCAAGACAGCTCACCTCCTCAGCCCGCAATGTCCAGTACTGGTCATTTATATTCTCAATTTTCTCATTAAGAGGAAAGATCTGTAGATTAGTCAAGAAAACTGATTACAACATCAACGAAACTGATCTCAACAAAAATTAAAATCCACTCAATGATAAAAAGCAATTGATTTTGTATCGCAGAAAATAAATTTATTGGCCTCAAATATAGTGGCAACATGTCTTCTATCAGGGTTTGAAAAACCAAGCAACAATCCATGTCGAAGAAGTGAACACAGAAGCTAATAAAATATAAAGGCTAAATCACAATCCAACTCAACAAGTCTAGGCATATGACAGAGTAAAAACACAGAAAAGCTTCAGGACGATGATCACTACCTTATAAATCTTGTGGTAGAAAACTTCAAGCAATCTAAGTTCTGCATTTGCGTGAGACAACTCTACCTGTTTCAGCATGCATACGACAAATGTAAAAAAAGTGTATTTTTTCTTGCCTTTTCTGGAGGCAGGATCTAAAATTACTCTGTAAGTAGGAGCAAGCAATCGGTAAAAAGTAATTACCATGAAACTGCAATTGCAGTCATATTTTCCACACAAGACTAACAACATATTTTCAACTAATAGCTAGGGAAAATTTTATGTAAGGTATATACTATAGAACTTTCAATTAAGTAAGATCAATAACGTGCGATAAAATTATTCACAGCACTGAACTAACCTTTGTTTTGATCTCGTTAAGCACATCTCCAACAGTGCTTAGTTTAGGCAATCTAATGTTGAGAATTACAGCCTGAGAGGAACAGTGTGCCCTAGATCATATGATTTTATACAACTCAAATTGACAAGGAAAGAATAGAGCAATGACATCTGCACTTTCACATACCTCATCCTTTGTGGCATGATGAAAGGCAACTTTCAGAGTTTTAAGGCATTGCAGTTCAGGAAGAGGAATATCCAAAACTTCATAATACAGAATATCAGAGATCTGCACAGGAAAATTATCAATCCATTGACATCATAGGCCAACCTCAAAATTGTGCGTCAAAATTGCCACACAGGAACATACTGAGCTCACAGTGTAAGAGCTACCTGATTGTAGTGGACAAGCATATCTAACAACTGATCAACTGATCTATATTTGATTGGATTGGGCTTTGGTTGCTGAGAATAGCAATTGTGAGGAGTAAGACGGATTTTAGATGGATCATCCAAACCAAGGTGTTGAGCCACTCTTTCCACAACATCGTCATAAGTGTGGTTCTTTGCTCTAGAGATTTATGCCAAAGGTTATAAAACATACAAGACTAATTAAAAATGTAACACAGACCGCAATTAACAAACTAATAGTAATATTCAAGAACAGTCTCCAACTGTATCAGAAATTATAACGGGATCATAAATACTCACAACTCTAGGCTGAAACCATCCTCCTTAGGTCTCTCCAAAGCTCGAAAATGAACAATCTGCTAAGAGTCGATTCATATTAAAGGATGGAAGAATACGCAGGAACATGAAAAAGCACTAAATTAACATGCTTAGTCACTAAAGATATACACTAGCGTTATAAAAGAACAGAGATGTAACTACCCCACAAAAAAAAAATTGTAAAGACTTGAAAGAGAGCTTAGAAGACTTTCACGTGCATCTATTATGCTGTCTTATGCGCTACATTAATTATCTTTATCCACCAAAAGACAAATAGTATTTGAAACCACAACAAACTAAGCCTTATTTACAAAAATTAGGAGTCAGCTACGTAAATCCTTTTCCCCCATTCGGTTCGGTTCATTTCCACATCTATGGGACGATCCAAATCCTGTTCAACCAATATCCATGTTAGTTTTAGTCTACCCCTTCCTCTTCTAACCTATTCTATTGAGATTGTAATACTTATGAAAGGGAGCCACTTCAAATCTACGAAAGACATGCCCCAACAACCTAAGTTGTCATTCACTTAATTTAGAGTCAATTAGTGACACCTCCACTCACTGGCATATTATATTTAAAAACAGAACAATTAGACAGCAATTGATTAAACACAAGATTGACCTGGCGGTTCTTTACATAGGCCAAATACGAAGGGACATCAGGAAATCGGACATGTTCTTTTCCAGGCAGAAGCTGCTTCTGGAAGCAAATTATGTCCCCATCTTCAATCTGAATCGAAGAAGAAAGCATAGACAGAGAGAAGGGGGGATAAGTAACAAATAGAAGGACAATGTATTCAAATAGTAGAAGTACAATAAAACAGTAATTGCCTGGCTAAACCGAAAAGAAGCTTTCTTGTCAAGGGGTTCACACATGACGGAAGGCTCAAATTTTATTTCCTGTAGAGATGACAAAAAAGAACATTGCTGAATGTAGTGATCTTCAAATGCATAAAAAATCCTTCTTATAAGTAACAAAAGACAATACATATGGTTATATTTCTGTAAGACGTGCAAGCCTTGTGTAATAATGTACCTCAAAAAGTTCAATAGCTTCATCAGGAGCAAATCCCACCATTTCATTTAGTTTAGTAAGGATCTCAATGGGCTTCCCAGAGCTTTTTACGAAAAGCCTACCAGCATATCTGGAAATAAAAAAATTCACAGTCAAAAGGCTTGCACTAAAAGTAGACGACTAATATACTTTTAAAAACAATTAACTACCTAAGCTCTTCTTTCTCAGGATCGTATAGCTTAAAGAACAGAAGTATATCTTCTTTAGTTCTGTCAGGTGGAGGAACAGGACGCAGATCCTGAACATTCAACAGAATTATGGATGAAAAATACAATAAAAACAGGAGGGAAGAATGTATCTCAATGTCCGTGAGCCAATGAAAGCTTTCAAAATTTCTACGACTGTTACAAGATACCTGTCCAAGTTCTACTTCCAAAAATAACTTTAGCTCTGCATTGTGGGCCTTATTAGAAACATCCCTCAATGCTCCAACCTGCAACACAAAATTATCACCACATGAAAACTTTTCTACAAAGTGACCAAATAAAATAAAATATAGAAAGGATTCACAACAAAGAACTTGTCAACATATTAAAAACACAATAAAAAATGAAGCCTGGCAAGATATAATCAACAAGGGAATATAGTCAAAAACATGAAACGAGCAGGGCTACCACTTAAGCCCCCTGTTTGATGGCCATTATAAAGAGAAATGTGGGGGGGGGGGATGAATAGTGATTTTTTGGAGAACGTGGTAAAAAAGTAGGGAAAATTGTGTTTACGTGTAGAATATTTTATTGTGTAAATGTGTGGTTGAAAATGAGTATGAGAAATAAAAAAATTTAATTTAAAGAGAGTCAAACAGGGGATAAATATTGTATGAGCAAGAAAAATGACAAGCATTCAAAATCTCTATGAAATAAACTTAAGAAGCTAACCCTGTTTGCCAGAGTCTGACATGCATCAATAACACGGTTCATCCTAAATACCACAACCGTTATAAGGTGTATTCAGCAAATCCCAATCAGGAATGCAGGAAAGTGAGTGACGTGAAACAATTGACTGTACTAGAACAGTTAAGATAGCTCCTTCGAAATCATTGACATGTATTCCATGAAATTTGATGATAGAAAGTGTGAGGAGATGAGAGATAATTGAAAGGAGGGGAATAGATAATTTTGATCAATTAGCAATTTAGTTCCAATGCTTTGTACTGACCTGTTTCTTAACGTGGAAGGACTTTTTTGTCTCCCCTACCGTCTAGTATTTGCTTTTAGGGGTAAATGCAGATTTTAATATGTTCTTAATTGGGGAAGTTAAAGGAAGCACCCCTTTTAGCATCATATGAATAAATGCTTATTTTTTAAAAAGAAACTAAGCAGAAGTGACATATATTAATGCCATCTTTCAATGCAATAACAAACAACTACTGACAGGGAAATTTTATGGAAGACTATCAACTGGAGAAAAAAAAGCCAACCGCCTTTTCTCCTTCGGTACAAAATGTGATGTCAACTCATCTCACGAGTCTCATTCCCACTCAGGGTACATTATATGAATCACGTGTAATTCGTTTAGACAACACTATAGAAAAGTGGTGAGTTTTGAAATGGAGTGAGTCATGGTTTTTAAATTCTAATTGACAGTACTTTGAAACAGCTGACGATCGTCGTTTTCAAATTTTTACGGTAATGATGCACACAACAATTTGCACAATTTATAAAATTCAATGCAACTTTCAATCTTGCTAGGAGGGATATAATTTCCCCTGCTTCTTATTTCAATATCCTCCCAAGGCTAAATATGTAGCCACAACAAAGGTTTAGAAGGACATTTGTCCCCAGACGGGGGATCTTAGTATAAGATGCCACAAAAGAGGAAAATCGTAATAAAAAACTATACTCAGAACAGATGTTGTCATCAAGGTTTAGGTTTACGCGCAAATTTTCAAAAATGAAAAAAGAAATGGATATATTATTTACAGTTTGAGCTTCCTCCTGTGGGGTTAATGGTCTGTTTGGACGATAAGTGTGGTTCTGCCTTTTTGCCCAACTCCAAAATCGCTGAAATTGAACTGGTATACCAAACTCTTTGGCAACTTCCTCCTGCAATTAAACATGATAGCATCATTTAGTAGTCCCGGATGTGAAATAAACAAGAGCGAGCATATAGAAGGGTTTCAATTGTCTCTAAGCTACAGAATATACATTTAGTTAGTAGTACATGGCACTTGATAGGCATTTATTTCATCTATGGTATTTAATAGATTGAATCCTCATGATTCTGCAGGTAAGGACACCTAACAAATAACTTCTGATTCGAGTCCAATGTGCATGCATCATTATGGATCAAAAGTCATCTGATTCTGCACACGTTGGTGTAGTAGATTATAGGAAGGTATCCAATTGAAATCATATGTTTTGCTTAACTCAATGAACAAGAAGTTTGAAATAAATTTTAGGGGATCTAGTTGCGATTAAGATGCATTTGTAATATGATAGCGCGTACATGGTGCACTTATACAGAGAAAAGAGAGGCAGGCTAGGATTTCACAAAATAGCTCCTACCTACTATCCAAACAGCTGGTGCTTTCTTGGTCTCTTTGTTGGCTAAGCCAGAGGGTACACTCCTCAGGACTGCCTTTTTAGATAATTTTATATGTTTTCTATCTCTCTCTGCATTATTGTACATAGAATACCTGTTCCCGAATGCAATGCAACTTTCCTTGACAATAAAATTCTATTTTAGCCCCTGTTTGACTCTCTTAATTTCAAAATTCTTTATTTCTCAATCATTTTCAACTACACATTCACACAATAAAATAATTTGCACATAAACCCAAAATTTTTCCTTAACATTCTCCAAAAAAATCACCATTCAAAACATCATTTTCCCCCAATTTCTCTTTATAATGGCCATCAAACAAGGGCTTAATGGTATGAAGAAATTTCCATTGTCTACTGAAACAAATAAATGCAGTCTCCTTGACGGATCACACAGAGAGAATACAATGTGAAGATGAAGATTGAGTTCAAGAGGAATAAAAAAATGGTGTTAGTCAACTTGCACAACTGGAGGGTAGTGCTTTTTCAACCATGAGGCACATCAGATTGAAGGCACTACAGGCACTACATCAAATTCTAGCTGTGCTTCTCGGTATCTTTTATAACAGATATATAACAAACCAGTATAACGGGTGGCAAAGGATCACATATAGAGTGACTCGTTAGATCAATTGAAGGGTGTGAACTTCAACCTTGGTCATAATGTTTCCAGCCATATAAATTGGAGATGTTTTGTCAAGTATAATACATTTTCAATCCCTATTTATCAATTGCTAGTCATCCTCACCAGGTTCATGATTCACGGTTGAATTATCCACCTTCAATATACATAGGCACTTGTATAAGGACGCATACTTTGCATGGATTGAAATATACAAGTTGCAAACTTATATTGCCTAAAAGACTACAGAGAGAGAAGTGCAGCATTGAATTTTGTCTCAAGTTCCAAAATATAATGAAAATAAAAAGATTGTAAATAACAAATTCTGCACTCCTTTGTACCTAGAGAAACTAGCACATTTTTAAGTAAACGAAATGAATAAGCAAGCAGAACCTTGAAAAAATTGAAAGACGTCTGTTTCTGAATTCGAAAACTGCGAACTTTATCGTGATCAACCAGATCAAAAAACATATCCTTTCCAATCTGTTCCCTCAAATCTTCATCTCGGGCAACCTGCATATGTTGCTTCAGCAATCTATTACATAAAATGCAGAGATGAACCTTACACACGAAAAGGTTTGGCCACTGAAAAATAACCTTGATGACAGTATAAAGATGGGCCTGAGCTTTATATTTTCTCTTGTCCTCCTTCTCTTCTTGTTCTTTTTTCAATCGAATCTGGAATATATTAAGCATGTGGAGCATTACATAATACCCAAAGCATAACCAGGAATGATATGGTAAACTTCAATATTAACAAAATCCAAAACCTTACCCGAAGATGTTCTGCAATGTCCTTCTCATCCACGTCACAAATTATCTTATCCTTGTCACTAACACGTATATACACAAGCATGTATGCATTTGAGTATTTTGTAAATTTAAATGGAGTATTGTTGTGGCCAGGATTTGTCTGTGGCAACTGTTGGACAAAGTTAATGTAAGCAACGCAATAGAAATTAGAGTAATTAGATACAAATCAAAAAGTAGGATTATCACCTCTTCCTCACCACCATACTGCTCCTCTAGCGCCCTCTTCACGTCTTCTTTAGTGACCCGCTCATCATCAAATTTATACCTACAAGAAGAAATCACAAAACCTAATGCCTCATATGGTATAACACAATAAACTAAAACCCAAATTTCAAATCAACTAGAAGCCAAAATATGTATAGAAGAGAAATATGTAGACTATGTGTTAAAGCAACCAAGACAGGGTGTTAAAATGCACGCCTGAATATACCGATATAATCCTTTTTTACAATGTTATCAAAACCGGACCGGACCTGCCGGTTCGACCGAAAACCGGAGTGATAACTGGTCCGGTGGATGCATAAAACTCGTGAGTATAGAAACCTGCTCAAAAACCGCAAATCCGGACGGTTCAACCGAAAATCAGTGACCCGGATGTAGTTTTACCAAGTTTTCCGGTTGGGTTTGTGAGAAAAAAATTGAAAGTTAAGAAATAATTATTCAAGAATTTGATCCAACATATAGTACCCACCTTTTTCAAGTTAAGAAGAAAGATTTTCCAGTTGGTTTCATCCATCTTCTCCCATTTATATTAGATTCACAGATTTAGAATATGGTACCCAAAAAGAAAAATGAAAAATCAATTAACCAAGAACCTGTAGAGGAGCCACCGTCTTCTATCTGTTCTCTCAATCTCTTGTTAGGAATAGGTTAGGAGTTGTTTAGTAGTAGGGTTCATTGCAATTTATTTGGGCCCATTTAATTTTTATGTTTAGTTGCATGTTGATCCATTTAGTGTCAATTTCATGAGAAATGGGTATTATATTATTTATTGAAAGTTAAATAATAAAATTACTCTTTCACTTGATATAAAATTCTAATAGGATATATATTATTATATGAATTTTTTATTTAATTATATTATTTTCGATTCAACCCACTAACCGTTGACCCTCTCTCTTTTCCTAGTCAATGTCTGGGTCGGTTTTCAAAACATTGCTTTTTAAACAAACTTCAGTCAATCAAGTTTCCACTTCTCCATAATAAACAAGCTTGCAGAAACATCGCGTGCTTGTGTGCATGCTCTGGGAGTGAATGGCTTGGATTTAGAGAAAGGGAGAGGGAGAGATTCTTCAGAAGTATGACATACCATTGATCAGTCAGTGTTGGTCTGATGAAAGCATAATAGTGTCCACCATGCACACCTCCACTATGAACCAAAACACTGTTGGATAGGAAAACAAATGAAAGTAAGACAGTCAAGTGGCCAAAAAAAGAGGAAAAAGGAGGAAACGGTAATAATGATAAGGATTAGCTCCACAACCTGCCATATCTATGCATAAGTGGTGTATGTGCTTGAATGTGTACCAAATAATATATATATATGGTATCATATATGCCTCGTGTGTTTGGATTTTTAATAGGGTTTTGGTGCGATTCATATTATAGTTATACATGTGCACGGTTTAGAATATTTTTTAGAGTGTGGCTGTGGGTGCTTTGGCTTATTAATCTTGAACTATGATATTAGAAATATTTACTTATGTTATAAGTGAATTTACAGATGGTTAGTGGTGGTCGTGGACCTAGTTGATATTCTTTGTTTACTGCTACAGGATTAGTATGCTTTTGAAAGGATGTCTATATACCGGAAATAGCTCTCCCAAGTTTGTGGTGTCTATTTGATCGTCAGGTAGAGTAATACTCCCTAGTTTTGATATTTCCATTAGCTCCTCTTATTCTAATATTTGAGATGAGGCCTTATGTCCCCCTCTTTGCACTTCAATTTGCTTATTAATCTACAATTAGGGGATGGTGCCAAACCCCACATAAATTGTCAGGTGATGACTAAAAATTTTCTAACTTAACATAGATGGATTTTATTTATTTATTTATTATTAGTAATATTTTTTGGCGGGTTGGGATCAAAACATTTGACAGATAGATATGTAAAGAAAGAGATCAACCTATGGAGCATGTAAAGGTTGCGAACACTCCTATCTGCTTCCGGCGACAAGTATTTTCCGTTGTCTCTATCAAGGTCAAGTTCTAGGGGAAATTCATAACGGTCGTTTATCTGCACCATGGAAGCAATTTTCTAGGTTGCATGAAAAATAAAAATTTCAGGGGGAGATAAAGAATGCAAATCAACAACAAAAGGTTTTATTTAAATTCATAAGGCATTAAAATAAATGAAAACATAATGTTTCTCGATAAAATGTTGCAAGAAAAAATTGCTTTAAAAAAAAGTCAGAAATATATTAACTTCTGCACCACTTTGTCTAAAACCTTTGAAAGGCATCCTCACGAAGATTTCAAAAAAAGATAAAGTGAATACAATCACACCAAATACAGGAATAAAAAATAAAATATGCAAGTTAAAATTAAACATCTGTGACCCATTAATCTCTACAGATTCATTCAGGTAACATTTCTGGCAAAAATAGAATTAAGTAAAATGGTGCTTTCTTGCACAAGCACAGCTAAAAATCCTGCTGAAGTTCCATTAGTAGGCAATCCATAATAAAAGCGCCCTAGAATACTCACGTTTTCCAGATGGGATGCAACTCATGAGGTCATCTTGTGAGGATAGTCCCCCACCCGCATAATAAATCGAATAAAAAATAATGAAGAAATAAAACACACTATTACACAGTAACATGGATAGGGAGCAGTCTTAACTTTTCTGAGTTGACCTCTTTTATATCTGAGCTTTATGGTAGTGAGAGAAGAAAACAGCCACTGGATACACCAATTCAAGGTAGAGAGAAACAGAACATGGCTTGTAAAAGCATTATAACATCCATAAACTAACTCAGGAGAACTCTTCTCTTCATTAATGGTTCTTTTTTTCTTTCTTTTTTTTTCCTCAAGGGAGTTCCCATCCCAAGGAAAAAGTCAATCCTCAAATTAAGAGATCGTTAGATGTCGACAGATAAATATTACTTTCAAAGGAATGCAAATGCTCTCTCCCACCATTTCCCTCAGTACCACCCCACCCCAAGGACAAAAGAGAGAGAGAGAAACCCAAGAACACAGAGTCCACAAACCATAATAGATTTTCAAAGATGAATGGTTGTGTATTCATCCCTATAGCAGAGTCAAATGTATTTCATGATCAGCAATATAGATCATCAATCAGAAAAGGTGGGAAAATTATCCAATAAAAACTGACATTTTTATTTCCCCTCCCCTTATCAGGAATCTCACACCACGTTTCCATTAGACAGCCACTATAGAAAATAAAAAATAAATATAAAGATCCGATATAGGCTCCAACTATGCATATAGCTCAAAGAAAAATCTCAATGAAAAACAATTCTTGAAATTAATGCCCATGTACCCACTAGAAATTCGTGAGCCACAGTTTTCCAGCAGAAAATTAAAAAAATCCATCCCCCTTAACTTCTTTCCCTCCTAATAAATAGCCATAATCAATGCAAGAACCAACATCCTTCCATTATAAGTAGTACTCACAAAAAGCTTAAAATCTTAATTGAAGAAAATCATCAGAACCAAATTGTAGGAGAAATAAATGATAGAATGAACAACTAGTATCTCTATATCCAACTTTATGTAACAAGATATACCCTGAATTGTAACTGGCAGGGAGATAATATACCAAGAAAACATAATTAACAATGAGATGACCAAACAACAACCTCAATAGAGTAAAAAATGGGCAACCATTAAATTTTAGCAACTAACCTTAACCATTGTATCCCTCATAAAATCATATTCAAAGCGCTTTAGCTGAAGCTGCAGCACGGGAGGGAAGTCAATGAACAAGACACCCTTCTTGGCATCCTGACATTTATAGAATAATCAATCTCCAGACTGATATTCAAGGGGGAAAAATTGAAATGAACTAATACACGAATAAAATTTAAACAGTCTCGCAAGGCTCTTCCTATATTTGCCTAGGAATATTTATTATGAATTTTTAAACTCGAATTTCTAGTACTATGTCATAGGAGAAAAATATAAGCGTAAAAGTAAAATCTTCATAATCCTCTCATATTCATAGAAAATAGCTATCATAGAACAAAAGAAGCGCACATAGACTTGCTAATGAATCCCACAATTATCTAATGACAGAACACGATACCTGCAAACCATGTTCTTCAGCATGATACTTGTTATCTCCTTCAAGACGTTCAACTTCCACATACTTGTCGAAGGAAGCATAAACATCTTTACAGCCTTTGACATCAAGTTGAAGGTCTGCCACGAGATCACATTTATTATTAATTATGTTTTCAACATTAAGAAGGACAAGCCTCGGAATGACTAATACCATAAAATGACTCTTTTCTTGTAGATTTGAAATCTACATTGATGCATTCAATGTAATTCATATGGTGTCCTTCAAACAGTTTCTGTATTGTCCCTTCAACAACAGTCCCCTGTGCCAGTCACAAAATTATTTAAGAAATTGTTCTTTTTGTATCTGAGAATCAAAAAAGTTCAAAGAAAGAAGCTTCTAGTCTGATCACCATACCTTCATCTTGTCTTCGAGCTTTTCACACAGAACTCTATTAAGTTCTTGCACATCATGCTGCATAAAGGAATCATACGTGTCCCATCCAAATGATTTAGTCAATTCTTTTGTTGCCACACTGGTATCATGATATTGGAGCTTATAAAACAAACTCTGTAGAGCCAAGGGAATGCTTCCTGAAGGCATATCATTCTCCGTAGTTGGCATATGATACACAGCCTGATATAACACATTCCAAATTAAGGCTTCTTCAATCTTCCCTCATAAAAGAAACGATGTAACAATTCATAATTTAACTAAAGCATGCGAGCCTATAGTAACCTTTCTGAAGTAAGGAATATGATACAAAGTTTGCAGGAGAGAATTCATGTAACAAGTTGCTCCTTGGTTCTTAAGTCCCACAAAACCTGTCTCCTTCTTTGAGTCATACGTCCAGTAATCAATGACCTTACGTACAGCAACATCAGCTTCAACAACACATGTATCATTCACAAGATACCCCTTACTGGGGTCATAAAGTTCAACAAGGGGCATGAAAGATGTAAAACCCCAATCACTCTCCCTTTGACTGAACTGGTGCTGTGTGTCTGTGAATCCCAAATACAAAGTTAATAATATATCACAATAAACATAATCCAAAACACTAGTGGCATGCTTCATCAGAGTTGGGGAAAATATAAAATAAATAAAGTAAGGTGCAATGACTTACTATTTAAGTTCATCTATCAAAAGGAAAATCCAAACCAATGATCCCAACTACGCTTATCAAGCCAAAATGACAATACTGAGCACGAAAACTTTACGAACTTCAGATTTGAACTCCTTTATAGTAAGGTTGCAGCAAAATTACACTCCTAGTTACATTTTATTTTATTTATTTATTTTTGTGAATTATGTTTTTCATAATAGTAAACTAAAAATCACAAAAGACTCCTAGTTACACTCTCCTAATTATGGTTTTCATAATAATGAACTCAAGGAACAATAAAATATTCATCAATCTAGCTCATATTCATTTATTATCTTTTCTTACAACCATAGAATGATTTAAATCTTGTGAAATACTTGGATCAAGAAGAAGCTGCATGTTGACAATGTCCTCATTCCGCCATAAGACTCAACAGAAGATGGGTTTATGGTCAATATCTAAATACACTTCTCATCTGAATGCTAATAACTCCTACTACTTTCCGAAATTCAGCTCATAATAGGCTACGCACAAAACAGCTCCAAATCTTCCCCAATTGTGGCCATGGATTGGAAGTACACAAACGATAGCAGTTCGCAGTATCACAATCTTAAAGCAGACTTTATAGACGTTTCACATTCCCTCAACTATAGAAATCCAAATATATCAAGATATTTTGCAAGATGCAGGAAACCCGATTTTCCTAACCAAGTGACATTAAATTCAAAAAAGGAAACATGCTTCTAATGTTTATAGATTATTTTTATTAGGTGTACAAGCTTAACACCCACCTTGGTGTAGAGCAGCACCATATTTAGCTCATGATTGAGCCCCATTCTTTAAAAACTCATTTTCAACCATATATTTTCACAATAAAATAATTTTACACATAAACCCAAAACCTTTCCTACTTTTTAACCACGCATTCTCAAAAAAACTATGGTTGCAAAATCTATTTTTCCAAAAAATGGGGCTCAAACATACCATTAGTTTTATCTCCCAGAGCTTCTACTTGAAAACAATAAATAAAAATAAAAAATCCTTCATCAGCGTATGGAAGAATTTCAACATGGGCAAATCACAAATAAACACTAAAGCATAGACTGCATTGAAATAAGAAAAATCACTACCTTTAAAAATGAAGAAAATAAATCTTATATATAGCAAATAATTTGAAAATGAATACACAATACTGAGCCGCATAGAGAAGCAGGACGCGTTTAAGGAAAATGTTTAATAAAGACATACTAACTAATTCAAGATCAAGCTTTAGTTTAGCTACCCAAAAGAATTAGAAATGGGAATAGTTCTGGGAGATACCTTTTTTTATTGTGTATTTGTTATGTATTTGATTAACTACGGCCAAGCTGAACTGTGCATATCTATTCCAACCATATGGCAAGGTAGCTGAATCTGCCACATCTAAATACATAGACAAATAGTCCACATTGTTTCCTTTGGGAAAAATAAGCACCCGCCTGTGCAAACCAACAAAAGCCAAAATACAATTAGTCATACTCTTCAAGACTGTAAAGCAACATAAACAAGATTTTTTTTTTATTTTTTTTATTTTTTTGTAACACGAGCTAACAATAAAAAGGTGCTCTCTTAATTTCAAACTAACATGGTTAATTCCTTTAACCACACGAGTCAATGTAGTTAAGAAAAGGAAACCAACTTTACAGCTTTACATTACCATTTATAACCACCAACTGTAAAGACGTCCGAATATAGCTTCTTGACATTTAAGCGAGAAAAATTCTCAATCGCCCATGTGAACCGTGATGCTTGTGGCTCTTCACTGGCCTGGTTGTCCACAGTCCCAGCACCATCCACTGGCGCTACTATAAAATCAAAACAATTTTGAAAACCAATCCACATAGAACAAAACCTTCAGAATCTAACCTCCAATAATAATAAATGTAAAAATATAAAAAAATTTACAACTGCAATAATAATATGCCAAATGTAGCCCAAAACAATAAGTATCAATTAATTTTGATAGTATGCCAAATGCATATGCAGCTATATAGCTGAAGAAATACACAGACCTTCCATAGGCTGAGGACCTTCTACTAAAGGCTGAGGTCCTTCTACTAAAGGCTGAGGGCCTTCTACAAAATCCGAGTGTGGCACCAGCATCTCTTCATCTTCTTGTCGCTAAAATTCCAGCAAAAAAAATAAACAGAAACTTAGGCTTGATCAAGTAAAAACCCTAGCATTTTCTCCCAAATTAAAAACCACAGTAAATTATCACGACTTCAAAAAAAAAAAAAATTCAATTCAGCAACTTAAACTTTCCATCTTATCACTAAAAACCCTAGTCCACGATCAACAGGCCTCAGTGCCCGTTCATATAAATTCAATTCTTTATACACAGCCGAGCCAAAAATTCAACAATTAATTAAACAGATGGGAACATGCACGAATATATGAAGATAGACAAATCAAAAAGTGTATAATTGGGAAAATGAGTGCGAAAAATGGGCAAGGAATTACATCCAACGGTTGAGGAGTCAGCATCGTCATGGCTGGAGAAATCAGAGCCGTCGATCAATAAACTGAACAGTGATTAATGTAATTTCAGAGAGGAAATGAAGGGGGAAGAGAGAGAAAGAAGTAAGTTAGAGAGAGAAAGGCTTGGCTTTTCTGAGTTTCGGTTTCTCGACGGTGAGGGGATATGTTGGGGATTTTTGAGAATGTTAAGGGTAAAAGAGAGAAATAAAAACAGCGAGGAGAGTGGCGTGCTATTGTAGTCGAGGGTTGAACAAGAGTTTTCTCAATTTGAAATTGCCCTGTTGGTCCCAACCTATTGATTTTTTCCAGGTTGACCCCAAAAAGGTAAAATTCTTGTTCTTGTATTAGCATAATCTCATATTTGGCTAATGTTTATAAATTGTTTATAATTGGTCAAATAAATTTTACTCATATATTTCGTGACATTCACGAGTATTACTCATTTATCCTTCATTCATTTCTATCTATTTATAATATATAAATCGATTATAAACTACTTCCAGATATCTAATTTGATCCATGAATAAATATCGTATTTTCAAAACATTGAATTTACAACATCGAATTTTTGAGATTCAAGTTCTACCGAGCCAAGCTGAGATCACTTGCATATCAGAACAATATAAGATAAGACTATAAATAAACTCCAAAAAAAAAAGGTGAAAGAAATGTTTGTCCGATTTAATGATATTGAAATGACTGTATTCTCAAACATCATCGAATGTGAGCTTCCATCTTTTTATTGCATTCTAGATAACAATTGGACTCTCATCTATAATATATTAAATATCGCATGAAGTGAGAATAATTTCTGAACAATTTTAGCCCTTCTACAATTTAATTATTTCAATAGTACATTTCTTTTCGTTTTTCAATATATATTTAATAGAATATTAATTATTAAACATGCACGCAAATAAATAATTGAATTGTACTAGAACAATCAAATTGATTCATGAACATAATATGAAATTTAATTAATTTGAATCAATGAATATAGAAGAATAATTTTTATACATTTAGACAAATATTGAAATTAAATGAGCGTGCATGAACTTGAATAATTTATCTATTTTTATAATAATTGAATAACTCCAAAATTATATGATCTTTAATAATTTATATACTCTATAATAATTTATGATAAAATGAATAATTTTGAAAATAAATACGTGTTCATGAACTTGAATAATTTATTTACTCTTAGAATAATTGAATAGCTCCCAAAACATGTGTACATGAATTTGATGACCGAATGTCATACTTTGTATATCCATAAATAAACGTTAATTAGTATACATGCACATATATAAATAATTGAATTGTAGTAGTTGTAGAGTAATTGAATAACCCCAAAAATATAGAAAGTGTTCGTGCATGAATTTGATTGAAGTATAGTAGGACATATATAAATTAATGTTAATTTATCATACACGTAAATAAACAATTGAATTGTATAAAAAAATCATTTCACATAAACAGTTTTTTTAACTATTTTTATATTAACTGATTTTCAAATATCATTTTTATAGCGTTTATAAAGTATTTCAAAATAACGCGCAACGCACGTTTAGCTGTAACTATAAGTATGGCTGAGAGTAGTGAGTGTCACGTGACTGTGTAATAAAATATTAGACTTATTAGTCATTAACATCGAATTTTACGATTTCAATGGAATATTCAAGACCAATTTGCAACTCATTCAGTGATATAAGGATCAGTGGTGCAAATTTACCTTTCTTAATAGCCAATAAGAAGTGGAGACGTTAGCGAGTGCACAAAATTCTCTTTTTTTGACATTTCACGTTAGCAAATTTACCTTTTTTTGACATTGCACGTTTTACGTTTTACTGTTTTCTTTTTCTTTTTCTATTTCTTTATATTCTCTTTCTCGGACTTCTAGAATTTTCTAGTACATAAGAAATAATTATAATAGTAAATAATATGATATTACACTGAAAATTGATTCATGGTTACAAAGATTTTTTTTCTTAAAATAGTTCGACGAAAGTTCTCATGACTAATCAAGATGTATTTATTTCTTTTCTTGCATGGTACTTTTTTGAATTTGAGTTCTAATTTGACTTTCGAGTCGAGGCGATGCAAACGAGCAAAGAATTGTTGTAATCAGTGACGGATGGACCGTAAAAAATGTTTACACGTCAACATAAACATATTATTGATTTCATTACACATAAACATATTATTGACTTTCGAGTCGAGGCGATGCAAACGAGCAAAGAATTGTTGTAATCAGTGACGGGTGGACTAGACAGAAAAATCACGTAAAAAATGTTTACACGTCAAAAAATGAAGTGTTATTCTTAAACACGCCACTAAATTGATTTCATTACACATAAACAAACTAATCAATATGTATCTATTTCTTTTCTTTCATGGTTATGTTTTGAATTTGACTAAAAACCCTGTCCAAAGGTGAAAGGATAAGTTAATTAAATGTGAGGAATCAATGAATCGACTTTTATATCATGAAACCAGTAACTAGCTTCCATTTTGGCTGCGAGGTTATGAGAAAAGGGAAAAATGGAAGGAATGAAAGAATTGGGCGTTTGCCCTCGCCCTGAGATTACATGTGGTGTCTCGATTTAACCATCTTCTTAGTCATTATCCCGATAAAATTTTGATATCTGATATCCGACATCTTGAAAAGATCGGAAGAACTTTGCTTATTTTTCACGCGATGCTATTTTCTAGTAAGGGTTGATTTTGTGATGCATCGAGACAACCATCTAGATTATGAACGTCTAAAGAGTAAAGATTTAGGAAAAACTACACTTTAGTCCCTAAATTTTAACTTTTGTACCGATTTAGTCACCAACTTATTTTTCATTAAAGACGTTGATTTCAACCTTTGAGTTTAGTAGCTTGGATGATCACCATTTTATTTTGTAGGACCATACAAATTAGTTTAGAGCCTATGCATTTAGCAAATGAGAATTTCAAATTCTTAAAACTTCATATGTATAATTCTCTTTGTGATTCAAGTCTTTTGCATTTATTAAGATTGAATTTCAACCATATTAGGCATTTAGCGAGCACGTACTAAATCTTTTATTTGGATTTGATCACCATCAATTGAGTGACCTAACTTGTAGATTTAAGTGTGGCTTTGTTCCACTCGAACAATCACTTCTCAACATGACTCTCCTTACTCGAACATATGATACCATTAATTAGGATCGAATTTCAACCATCTCATTAGAAAATCAGTTGCAAAATAATATTTCATTGATGGTCAAAACATATACTTGGTATCAAGACTATTTTAAAAGAGTAATGTTATTCATCCCCACTGGGGATGAAAACACAATCTAGGTAGCTGTAAATGATAGGTGAAATGAAATGTGAAATTAAATGACTTATTTAATTTCACCTATCATTTAATGTCACATTAGCGCCATCTAGACTGTGTTTTCATCCCCTGTGGGGATGAATAGCATTACTCATTTTAAAAGGATAATCTTGATAAATAATAAAAAATTGTTTATATGGTTAACTTTAAATTTCTAAAAACGAGATTTAATTTGTTATTTTATTGCATGAGAATGGGATAATAACGAGTGATCGAGGCTAAAAAAACACTCACATCGTCAATTAAAATAAAGTTCCAACAAGTTTTTCTTGATTACAATAATACGTACATACGATCTTCATTATGAGAGCATATATATACATAATAACCTTATTTCACTCGCGAGACTTTCATTCTACGATTTCTTGATTATGAACTATTATTACTTCGATTCTTTCTTATCAATCGTGTTTCTTGGACGGTTTCACTACGAGGACTGCGCATTTTACATGATGAATACAATAATCGCTAACACTTCCCAAAACAGCCCTACAACAAAAACCAAAAATCAATTTTGTAATTCGTAATATAGCATTTGGAAGGTTAGAAACGGCATTTGTATTCATATAGGCTAATCAGATTGTAAGAAGAGATCAAAGATCATCACCTCTTGATCTGGCCAAGTCCCCTGCTACCAACCACAAGAAGATCAATGTTCATTTCATCTACGTACGGCTCGAGAAATCCTGTCCCTTGGATCTCCCTCGAGAATAAGAGTTTTAGCTTTCACCTACGTCAATTTTTGAAACAAACTTTTAAATCCTTTTGACACTCATTTATACAAGAGTCACAACGTATTCACTCTAGCCCAGGTTATTAAAATTTGGAGAATATGCGGTTAAAAAGTAAAGAAATTTTTTGGAATTACGTGTAAAAATATTTTATTACATGAATGTGTGGTTGAAAATGAATACGTAGAAAAAAAGTTTTGAAAGAATGAAAGACAAACAAGAACTAAGAAATGAAGGTTACGTCTTGTCAACTTAATTCGTTTAAATTATCTAATAACGTTCAGTTTCGCGTACTAATCATGGTTTTAAAATACTTTAGAGGATAGACTTCTGTAGTTAGTATGTTGGTCCTAGATTCTTTAATTTGTTAAGAAAACAAAATTTGAAGTGAACTTACCATTTTGTCCCTGCACATATCAAATGCACGAGATAGCCTCCTTGCACCATTTTGCTCTTGGGTTTTACCTGCAGATTCCACTGAAATTCAAACTTGTCAAGAGTATGATATGAAACAGTAATATGGATTAAAATATTGTTAATTCAATGAATTCTTATAAAAACTTTTAACGAGAAACGAACCATATCCACTAGGGAAGGCATAGCGAGGCAAGGGCTATATGGCATGGACTATGGTGACCACCTTGGAGACTTGGAGTGCTCCAGCTCCTCCACCGCCTGAGGAGCGGCGCCACCACTGTACTTCAACAACTCATCAAGAACCCATTCAAGTGCGTAGAAACTCTCGTCGCTATCATCAATACCCACCATTATATTCATCATCTTCTTCCCCTCCGGCTCTTGCCCCGCCATCATACCACTTTTGCCCGTCTCCACCGCTATCGGCTGCTGCTCCACCGTTGCACCACCATTGCTAGTCTCCATCTCTTCCTTTCCTGTACTACGCCCGACAACCTTAGCTTATATTTTGTTTAGTTGGACTTTAGGTTATTTTCAACGTAGCATCTTTTTGCTGTCTTTTTGCATGGCAAAATGGCTACATCTACCTGCATGGATGCCACGTGTCAGGGCCAAAATCCTTTCGTCCAAAATAATCACATTTTTTATTGTCAAAACAAGAGAACAGATAATCATCCTCATCCTCTCCGTGAGGATATGTAAGACAAATGAAAACAGAAAAAATAATTCATTCGGTCCTCTAATACATTTTTAACACCTCGACATATCATCTATTCTTAATAAATAAGAAGATGGCAACACATTTTTTTATGGATATTGACGATGTGCCGACATTGTGAAAATGTAGGGCTGGCACACTAAATTCTGCCAGCATATAATTTTTGCAGTTGGCGAAATCAAGCTAATCACAATGCATAAATAGCTCAGACACAAGATAAGTATTACATGGAAAAACCCCTCAATACTTCGAAAAGCATGATGCAACTTGAAGGGCACGTCGAAAGCGGAATAATTAGAACAGACAGAGAGGTAGCATTTCAAATTAGGTATAGGCTACATTCTTGAATTATAACAAATTATAGCTTTTCTCTAACATCCCTGGAATTAACAGTACGGCGCAAGAAGCTTCGAACGCTAACTGGATATGCCTTGATACATTGTCGGTGCCAAGGAGCTCAGTGAGCTATTATCGAAAGGCCGATCAGCATATCATAGGCATTCCGGTGGTAGGACCAATTGCTTAGCAGTCACACTGTTGCCCTAGAGTCTTGGCATCCTTCTTAGTTCTGATTTTTCGGAAGACAGGTCTCAATGGACTTGAAACAAACTTCTTTCTTTTTGCGCTTCGCACATTGGCAGGTAGTTGGGCGAGGTATAACGATAGCAAACAAAATCTTGGATCTTCATACACAATGCATGTGAAAAAAAAAGCTCATGGAGATAATTTAAGACTTTATTTTATCCCCATTTTTTTCAAAATATACATTTTTCAGTCTCTTCTCTTCATTCACACGTTTTTCAATAAAATAATATTGCACGCAACCCAAAAACTTTTCTTTCATTTTTAACCATACATTCTCCATCAATCTACTATTCCAAAATGCATTTTAAACAAAAAATGGGGCTCAAGTAGGCTTTAAATTAGAAACAACGCCTCAATTTTGATACTAGAAACAAATACTAAAAGATAATTGATACAAGCAAAGAGTAAATGCACTTTTACTCTTGCCTCTCACCCATCAACCCTTGTCCCAAGATGATAGTCTGTGAACAGCCAAAACTCATTGCCAAGTTTGCTAGAGTGATGATGACAACCGAATCACTCTAGTGGACTCGACAAGTGATGTGCACCGACGGTAGATACCAACTAATTGTCGGACAACCACCAAGGTAATTTTGACTATGACATATTTTTATAAAAATTTTGATAAAGTTTTCTTTTTAATATGAACTAAAATTAATGGACAATAATCAATTTCCTCGAACTTGTATATATGGTACACTCAAAACACAAACTATTTAAAATAAATTACTAGCAAATCGACATTTACTATGCTTTACAAACAAAAGTCCCCAAATGCACTAAACATACCAAATATGCAGCGAGCCATGTGGATACATTAATTATAAATTAACTTTTTAGACAAAAGATGCATGTACCCCAAAAGAAATATGAACTATATAAACTGACAAGAGAGTCATACAACTGGCAATGTGTGGCTCAACTCAGTGAATCGATAGGCTCCAACGCTTCTCAACTCAACTATTATCTAATAAAGAAAAAGGGTAACAAAATATTTGAACTTGTAACTTAGTGAGTGAATAATTCGTAAATAAGAATACTTTTTTCATTTATGCAAACTTTTTGAAAACTTACAACTTTAAGAAAATCTGATAATACTTTTAAGACTAAAGCATAACGGAGTCATAAAATCCTTTATTCTGAATAAACAAATGTAAGATATAATAGATATAATAAATGTGACATACATATTATGAATGAAAATATCATTCCACATTACTATAAGCTGAAATATTTATTCTATAAACTGATTAAACTAAATTTTGTAGTCTGAAATCTCATAAGTTGCATAATACTGAAAAATCACACCAAAAAAGTACCGGAATAACTATATTCATGTATCGATGAATATCGATGTATATGGCAAAGCTATTCAATTATGTAATTCTAGTTATACGCACACAGAGTTACCCAAAAGCTATAATGTGGCCATAGACTATTGAAACACATTTACAATAATGCACAGCTGGTAAAATCACCATAACTGGTTGGAAACACATTCACACCACTGCAGAGCGGGTAAAATCACTTAGGGCACTTTCTGATTGTTTTAAAAATAACTTTAGATATATTGAAACATGTAATACTAATATAACATGCCAACGAAATAATTTATCTGAACTGAATTTAACTTTTAAAAGAACTAATTATAAAATCAATTTTATTCCGAAAATCATGCTGCCAATTCAACTATATGAAGTAAGCAACTTCCCAATCTAATATAACTTTAATAAATACTTATTTTTGAAAAATAAGTTTTTCCACTCACTCAAAACACACTACAATCTATGACGATCGGTAAGCTTTTACAATTTCTTCGTCATCACCTGAAATACCATATAAGATAACCAAAAAATCCATTTGATTCTGAAAAATCATGCTTTGAAACCAGTTATATAAAATAATTAACTTTCTAATACGATATAAATTCAATAACTATTCATTTCTGAAAAATAAGTTTTTCCACTCACTCAAGACAAGCTACGAAAGTCGATAAGTTTTTTCAATGTTGTTGTCACCACCTAAAATATGATATAAAATAACTAATTTAACCACTACCAAATCAAGAAACCTTCATCCCAATCATTAAAGTAATCACATCTTCCAATCTAGTGAAAACTAGTAAGTAGTAACCATAATTCCACCAATTTAAGTTTCATCTTGTTCCATAAATTCACACTTTCATTGAGTAATTCCATCAACATAATCATTTTCACCAAGTATTCTTACTTAAGAACCCAATTAAAAATCTAGGGCTTACTAGAACTGCCTACCCTATGCAATTAGAATAACAAATCAAGAAGGTTTGCTTGAAATTATACTTCTTCCCTTCAATCTAAAAATTAAACCAACCACTTAGAACCCTATAAACTTTAGCACCATTACTCCATAACAAATTTTACTTCTTTACCTCTTGAAGAAGTAGAACCCAAGCTTGAAGAAGTTAGCACCTAAACTTTCTTTCCTTTTTTTTACTTTTCTCTCCATTTTCCCTTTTCTTCCCTTTTCTTTATTTTTTTCTCCCTTTCTCTCGTTTTCAGCTTGTGTGTATATAAAATGAAGACAATGGTTTTTAACTAACTCTCAAAATTGCAACCAAGTCCTTCATATCATGAGCTCGCTGCATATTTGGTATCTTTAGTGCATTTGGAGACTTTTGTTTGTAATGTATAGTAAATGTCGATTTGTCAGAAATTTCTTTTGAATAGTTTGTGTTTTGAGGGGCTGGTTTACCCTATTTTAAATTATATGTACATGTTTGAGGAAATTAATTATTGTTCAGGTGGTTTTAGTCCATATTACAAAGGAAACTTCGTCAAAAAATTTATAAAAATATGTCATAGTCAAAGTTATCTTGGTGGTTGGGCCGGCACTTAGCTAGCATCTACTATCAGCGCACGTCACGTGTCGGGGTCCACTGAGGTGATTCGGGACGGGTCGTGTTGGATGAGGTCAAAAACCACATTTGCGCAAACCCAAGAGCTCTGCAGCCCTCTCCTTTTGCACCTCACCTACATGAAATCAGAAGGAGAAATTGTGAAGGCATAAATTTTTCAATACGATTTATAGGCTATATGCAACAGATTCTTGTGTCTAGGCAATTTAGAAGATTAGCTGGTCTCGTCGGCATATGCTTGTGTATGATAATAACAGGCTTCAAGAATTGGGCAAATAGACTATCGATGCCATGAAACATGGGTAGAACAATTAAACTTATTTATACTTCTTCATAGAGGTGAGTTAAATTTTCTTGGACTGGATAATAAGAGAGAAGCTGATCAGAAATCAATTTCTTACAAGTGAGTAGCAGGTAAGATTGCCCTGGTCTCGACAGAAATGAAATTGTTTCGGTAATTTTCTCCAAGCATTCCTTGCTCTGACAGCAGTTTGCACAGGATAGATGCATGAATTTTTGTCGTAAATTGTAATATGTCCCAACCATCTATATCTAGCTCTCTTTAGAAGGAATTTTTTTTTTTCTAAAATTATAATCAGTAAGCCCCCAAAACAAAAAAAAGATATTCCAACTGCTCCGTTGCCAATTCCACTACCACTGCCATTGCCACCATCGTAATAAAAAATCCACTTCCATGAGAAACCAAACCTTCATGCACATTGATTTAGTTTTCCCTCATTTTCTTTCTATCCTTACACGTTTCTTAGATTGCCTTACACATTTCTTAGATTGGACAGCATATGTGACTCTACTAGTGCTTGATTCCTCATTGGAACTTGTCACTAGGGGCACAGAATTTACCTGGTATTCTAACATCAAATCAACATAAGCTAATGTGGACGATAAAGATATCAACTATGCAGCCAAAAAAAGATTATTCACATAGTCATTTGTCATCCAAAAGTGTATCCTAGCATCACGAGTTCATTGCCACCAAAACCACCTTTCCCCCATTAGCCATCATCAACAAATATAAGACAGCCAGAAAAAAAGAAAGAAAATACAATCACCAAGTATTAATGCAACCCCATCTCTGATCTGATTAATATCTATTGGAGTCCATACCGCGAAGATCTAACTGCAATCTGATATAATTGGGTCAGTGGACATGGATTGGCTTCAGTATCTGGGTTTTCCAAGAGGTTGGTTCTGGTTCTGTTTTAGACTAGGAAGTGGTGCCAGAGAGAGAGGCAATCAGGTAGGATAGTGATGGACGCGCTTGGGAATGACAAGGTTAGGTGGTGATTGAACATATGATGGTTGGTTGTTGAAGTAGGCAGTGACAGATTCTCCCTTTTTGCTTTAGAATTTTTTGAACTCTAGGAAAGGTGCCTAGTTAATTTTGGGACACTGTTACTGGAAATAATTGCATTAATCGTGTCAGCCTACTACTGTCAAGCTCAATTCTCAATCTGGACAAGAGCTTTAAATTGGTAGCAATTTGGGTGAGTAAGTGGGGACCCAAAATAAGATCACGAACCAAAATGATAATTTGTGACCAACAATATTTTGTACATTCAGCACCGCCAGCTTCAGAGTTCAGACTGTCTAAAGTAATATTATTTTTAAACATTTAATTTCTATTCTACATGCAGTAATAGAATGCTTTGGAATAATCAAAAAAATATTCAATTTGGTGGTACAAGATAAAATTTTACCAGGTAAGTTGGATCTGCAACTATAATTGGAAATGAATGCTTTAGTGACAAAGGAAGATCCTCGGGCTAGTTGCAATCATAGAATGTAAACTCCATCCCGTATTGCTCAAATCATTTATCATACTCCAAAAGCTGTGCAAGTACTTCTGGACCAATTTTCTGAAATGTCCAATAAAATAAAGAGTAAAAAAAGGGCAAATTACAAATTACTAGGAAAATTATAAATTTCAACTCCATGTAAATATTGGGTAGAAGTGTTATACGATATGCTTTCCATAGCAGTGTCTTGCCACTTTGATTCTGATTTTCTCGAAATTCCAATAAATTAAAAGGAAGAAAAACGAAAGAAAATTCAGCACATTCAGAGACAGAGATAGGGGGTGACCGCGCCCCCCAACATTGTCCGCTGGTCCACTATTCCTAGTTAATTTGTAACGTATTTTTCAGTTTCGCCCCTGCAACAATTTTGAATTTTTTTTTTTCCATTAATAAATATTGATCCAATAACTTACACTTTAAAATTAAGTGTTATACGATATGCTTTCCATAACAGTGTCTTGCCACTTTGATTCTGATTTTCTCGAAATTCCAATAAATTAAAAGGAAGAAAAACGAAAGAAAATTCAGCACATTCAGAGACGGAGATAGGGGGTGACCGCGCCCCCCAACATTGTCCGCTGGTCCACTATTCCTAGTTAATTTGTAATGTATTTTTCAGTTTCGCCCCTGCAACAATTTTGAATTTTTTTTTTTTCCATTAATAAATATTGATCCAATAACTTACACTTTAAAATTCAACNTTAATAAATATTGATCCAATAACTTACACTTTAAAATTCAACAAAAGCCCAACTCCAATCCAAAACCATACAAAAATGAGGAAATTAGGCTCATTACCCACAAAAAACATTTAATTAGAATAATAAACTTACAACTAATTAAAATCTTTTAACCCGTAAATAATACGTTCAAAACACTCCAAAATCTCAAACCCCCAGTCAAACCCCAGAAATCATCTCAGAATCATCCAACTCACAAAGAATTCCAAAATTCTTGCTGAGAAACTCTCGCCCACGAGTTCCTTCAACCACCAAACCCCAAAATTCCAAGAAGTCCCAAATCAAAACCCACGAAATCAGAAACTTTGGTGATTGTGCTTCTGAATTTTATTGATGAATAGATCAGTCGCAAAATTCTTGTGCTTTTTTGGGTTTTAATGTACTTCTAGAAATATGTTTTTTGTGTGTTCTGCAAAGAATTTCAGTAATTGTGTGAAATTTTACTTTTCATATAGTTGTTCTGTTTTTATTTTTCTGAACTGATGGGTTTGTGAAAGCTTGGGTTCCCAAATTTAATGCAATTTTGAAAGAATCAACTCTTTCATCCATATTGTACTTTTGTTGCCGTTAATTTGTAGGTATAGTGCTAGTTATAGCTTGCATTTTTTTCGTTGAATTTCGATTGGCGATGCCTTCTTATCAATTGTTATACTCATGTAGTCAAAAGTGATAAAAAATTTGCATATGCTATTTGATGTAAGCCCGAATTTTATTGTAGACTTTCCCTACCTCGATTTTGGAAAAAATCTCGATTGCATTGATCATTATTCATTAGTTTTGGTTCATCAGATAGACACTCTTATTTGCATAAAGCTGACTGAATATCTTAATTTTAAGTTTGACAGTTAAAAATATAAAGCTGACTGAACATCAAGAAATGCTTTTGGGTTATGCATCAACACATTAGAAAGTGTTCAAAATGTTTTAAAAAATTAAGTTTTGTTATTTGTAATTGATGTAAGGATTTCGGAGGTTTTTCTTCATTTTGGGTTCTGCAAAAGCATGAATAGATTCACCTTTTTTATTATGACCGGAGAATTGCCAATTTGATCGATATTTGTAACAGGACCCTTCTCCTCAGGGAAATACTTCCTTAAGATTTTTTTCATGTTCTGTAGGTTTGATATAGAAGAAGGGGAAAACAGTCAAGAATTTATTTTTTCATTTTTAGGAAGAGCAAGAGAATTGATTTCCATTTGGATCCAACCCTTGATTTCTTTTAATTTTTGGAGCCTTTTGCAAGAGATCTGGTCTTGAGAAATTCTTGATCAGATTTTGCATGTAATTTAATATTCTTAGGTTTTGAGGCTTTTCAATAGATTTGGTGATTATTCTGATTGCATTTGGTTGATTTTAGTGGATGCTCTTGATTTAGTCTGTTCTACTGTGGTTTTTGTTGTGTTTTCGTGAGTCATCTATTTTAGTTTGAAGCAATGTTATGAGTTTTTGTAGTTTGAGTTTGTCAATTTTTTTTTATTGTCACTTTCTGAGTGTATCACTTTTTTATTCTCTGTCACTTTTTTAATCTGTACTTCTTTTAATTTGTGCCACTTTTTCATTTTACACAGTATTTTTTACTTCCTAAAAACTTTCCATATGATTTTTCAAAACATCCCTAATTTTAAGGGTATTTTTGTAAATACCCCTACAAAAATCATACTTAAATATTGACCCAATAACCATACGAAAATCTTAGACCTGAACAAAAGATCCAATAGTTACTTAAATAAATAAATAACCCAAATCTTATCCAAAAGCATACCCACAAGCCACAGCCCACAAAATGTTCATCTAACGTTCATGTTTTCAATTTGTATAGCGTTAGATATATAGATGGACATATTGTTTTTGTATCGACAAACTGATTGTCTTTTTGGTCAGTCCATCTAACTTGCCTATTTTGGTACTTAAAATCGTCGTTTTCAATCCTCTTAGTTAAAAAAAAATTTTGGGGACAGAAGAGGGCGCCCGCCCCCCCGCCCCCGCATTTTCGCCCTCGCAAGATTAAAATCATGGCTTACGTCCACATTGACCAATTACATCTGTTACAGAATATATTTAGATTAGGAAATAAATAAATAAATAAATATATATATATATATATATATATATATATAT